GCTCGTCAGCACAGTGTAGCTAATGAACAAGCTGCACATCCAGATATTTATATGACGACAAAGTAGGATGCGGATGTGGGACACACAAAATATTCGTCAGATAAATATCTGGATGTGCAGCTTGTTCATTAGCTACACTGTGCTGACGAGCCCCAAAAGGGCGTAACAGCTGTCCACAGTTGCTAATGTGAGCAGGACACACTGTCATAGTCCGTTCATGGCTCTTTACGCTGCTTTCAAACTACGACATGTAGTACGCATGCGTATTCGAGATATGACTTACTTTGTCACTTTTATAATATTTTGTGTGTCCCACATCCGCATCCTACTTTGTCGTCATATAAATATCTGGATGTGCAGCTTGTTCATTAGCAACACTGTGCTGACGAGCCCCAAAAGGGCGAAACAGCTGTCCACAGTTGCTAATGTGAGCAGGACACACTGTCATAGTCCGTTCATGGCTCTTTACGCTGCTTTCAAACTACGACATGTAGTACGCATGCGTATTCGAGATATGACTTACTTTGTCACTTTTATAATATTTTGTGTGTCCCACATCCGCATCCTACTTTGTCGTCATATATATATATATATATATATATATATATATATATATATATATATATATATATATATATATATATATATATATATATATATATATATATATATATATATCACATACTTGTACCTTTATCAGGTAGGAAGCAGCGGGACATAAAAACGATATCGTCCCGGATATCGTTTTTTGTCCCTGATATCGTTTTTTGTCCCGGATATCGTTTTTTGTCCCGCTAAATTTCGCACCTTGTCAAAACAAAGATGGCCGACTCGAGGTTCGTGTTGGTTGCACTGAGCTATAATATATCTGGAGGAAGTGCTCCTATCTCTCTTCAGTCAAGCAAGTGAAGCCAAAAACATGGCGGATTTTCACGTTTGCTGACGCCAGAATGACGCCACTGGTCCCAAATCCTGGTTATAGATTCATGTCTCGCTATTTATAATGCTAACCCTAATCCCCACCCTAACCGCTAACCCTATTAGCGAGACATGAATCTATATCCAGGATTTGGGACCAGTGGCGTCATTCTGGCGTCAGCAAACGTGAAAATCCGCCATGTTTTTGGCTTCACCCTTTGATGCCGAGCACTTCCTCCAGTAATATAGTATAGCTCAGTGGTTGGTTGATGTGGACAGTTTTATCGAAGGAAACAAGAACGATAATACAAAACGAAAGACTTAAATTGTATATTATTTATATGAATTGTCTATTTATTTTCTAAAATCATATTTGTTCAGTAAATGATGAATTTTTTTGAATTCTAAAATGATCCTATTTTTTCAAAACTGTTTACTTTTGGGTGTCAAACCCTGATAAAGGTACAAGTATATAATAAATAGGTTATCGTACTCGGGATTCGGTGATATCAGTTTTATCGCTCTCGGGACGATATCACAATTGTTCCTCGCTCGCTGCGCTCGCTCGTGACAATTGTGATATCATCCCTCGAGCGATAAAACTGATATCACCTCATCCCTTATATGATAACCTATATATATATATATATATATATATATATATATATATATATATATATATATATATATATATATATATATATATATATATATATATATATATATATATCT